TCTTCACAACTGGACTTGAGTGCGGAGTGCAACAACTTCCGTTTCCAACGTATTCGCCTGCTCGACGGCTGGAGGCCGCTCTGACAGAGTACAGTAATCCTCAACGCGAGACAGTCGGTGCACAAAGTGCTCCAGACTCTCGATGTCTTCCACACAGCGGTAGGCGACCTCGGAGAGATGCTCGACAGAGTGCCGATGACGATGGACTTTGTCCTCCAACGATCGAAGAGCATCACGAGTCACCAGACGGCGATCGAACAAGTCGTCATCGACCGCCGCCGACTCTTCTCGATGGGAATGGTGACGTCCACTACCACGTGTAATGCCTTGTGGGTCGACATCGTCGACGGGAGGTTAATTCAGTATTTTGTATAGTGGCGGGGATACACAAACTCCGAGAACTCGTGGGAGTTTGAGGTGCCACTTCAGCTAGAATGTCCAGACGTCATAGACGCTTATGATCAAAGGATTTTGACGCTTCGCGTCGTCTTGCGCACCGCGCTTCTCAGCAGTAGCCTTGGAGGTTGGAGGGCCATGAGCTGAGCTCAAGCTATGGTCCTGAGCTGCAGTGGTCGCAGAATCACCCGTGTGAGAAACCACAGATCTCACAGGATCGTTATGGATGGTTTCTAATGTCGCAGGGCGGCACTTCGCAGGAAGTCAACGTTGCGCCTTAAGTATGGCAATTTCAAATCTAAGATGAGCTCAACGCGCACGTCCACTACCTTGTGGCCTCGCTGTATGGTAGACGGCGAAGACAGTTTTCGGTGCCGCTGCAACCATTGCTTAAATAGCTCATCGTCATCGGCAGCAATTTCGCCAGAGGTGAGCACTACAGGGATGGTCCGCATTGCGAGAACAGGAGCATCTCTTTCTTGAACTCGAAGTCGAGCGCGGTGCCGATCCATTGGGATATCTTGGGGTACCAAAATGCGAGCTCGCATAGCTTTTCGCTGATCAAGCTCCGCTTGTGTAGTGGCCAGAGGCCCGACTACGTAGATGCCTAATGATCGAGTGATCGCGTCTTTCGCTTCAGTAGCGGGATCCGCCGAGCGGAAGCCGCATTCCTCACGAGGGCCTAAGACCAAACGTGGATACGAGCGCAGGAGAGCCGCCCTGTGAGCAGCCTCCAATTGCTGCTCCTG